AAACGTAAACAAAGATCAGCTGATTCGAGTGGGAGTATTCGCCGCAACGTCTCTATTCCAAGTTGGAGCTGCCCGGAAGCCAACTTTATAATTATGCCGTTAACAATATCCGAGGACCACAAAGCCCACTTGTCGCTGCTGATACCACAAGAGGCTTCCGTTGTCGGAGAATTTTGCCGCCTTGCAGTTCAGTTCTTGAAACAAGGAGTAAATCCGCGAGTTTTTAATTCCGCTGCCAATAAGCTGGGTGTGCAACCCAACGAGGTAATAAATACGGCTTTACAGGGCAATATGATGTAACTTTGATTTCTAGCCATGGTTAATCTTGACGGTATGAAAGTACTAAGGTAGGGCAATCTGATGATGATATTTAGATGACAAAAAGTTCCAATCGTCGGTACAAAAAATAATCTAAAGACACCTGGGAAAATGGCATAAATAAAGGAAATAGATCAAGGAAATCACTGCTCACAGCTTAAGTCCACTCAGTGTTCCCATGTTTCAGCTCTGTCTTGCCTTGCAAACTGAGGTGAAGGCAATGTTTCCCAGGGGTGTTGGGGGCAGAGCCCCGCAACCCCCCCCTCGGACAGTGCCTGAAGGGATATGCCCAGTCACAGCAACTTAGATTTTTAAATTAATTTTACGATGTGGGGTTTGGGACTTACAGCCGGTTTGAGACCTGACCCAATGAATTTTCATAATACAGACACTAATATTGACAGAAATAAATGTATATCTATCTGTCTAGAACTACCAGAAAGATATAGATAAAAATGTTTATTTATCAGACAGATATGCATTTATTTCTGTTTATATGCATGTCCATATATATATGAATATTCAATGGGTTTGGCCTCAAACAATTTTAACAAACTGGCTGTTAGTCTGGTGAGTGTGTACTGTAAAGAATTACCATGACCTTTTTTTTCTAATATAATATCAGTTTGAACAAACATATAGAGCTAAATACAATGAAGAAATAATTTATTAATGATCAACCACTGACTTCTAAACCAATGTTCTACAATTTTTTTTGCAATGTAACTGTGTGTATCAGTGGTCCACCACCCCTGTGGGGCACTACACACCTGCGTGTGCCTTCTGGGCTTTGGCAAATGCCAACAAACTTCCACCACCACATATCATGACTAAACAGAGCTTGCATTATACACTAGGTTGGACCAAATATAGAAGGCCTTCCATCACTGACCATAGCAAGTTCAAGTGGATTTAGACAAAACAATATATATTTAGAAGAAAAAAGTACTACTATGAAAGTGGCTGTGGGTGTCATGTAAACATTTACTATGATGTACATGTTGCAAGCTATTAATAATAAGTGAGTTAGCTTAGATTACAGACAAAGGACATAGATTTTATCAATCATGTTTTTATATTATAACTTTATAACTTTAATATACATCAGTTGTGTCACAGATGAAATATATCTTAGAACAGAAACCATCAATTCCATTCACTATTTACCTTTTATATGTATATCCGCTTTTTTTTAACTGAATATTAGTTTTAGGGAAACAATGTACAAGTTCACAGGATACTTTTGTTGATATTAACTATTCTATTTCATATATACAGCATTAATTCCTACTGAATCTAAAAAATAAATGAATAAAAAATAACAAACTATTAACAAATACAGTTCATAAAAAATGCTGTTTATCTAGTTTATATTTGTTAGAAAAGCATCTTGAATCATTTCTTGGGGAACTCTGATTTCTCATTTCAGATTGAGGAGGCAATAAGAGCCTTAGTGTACCTGTTCTCACACTGCACACAGGCAACAGCATCCAAGGATGAATTTAAACAACTACTTTTATCCTTGGGTTTCTCAGAAGATGCTGCACAGGTCCTGACCGAGACCTTTACTCAAAATGAAGCAGAACTAAAGGCGTATTTAAAGAGGATGGGTGTGCAAGTTAGTATTGCATCATTCTTAATATGTTATATAATCTCTAAGTGTATGCTATATTAATGGCATAAATTGTTTATTAATGGCATAGTTATTACATAAGTAGTGCATGTTTAAAGAAACTATAAATAATAATAATAGTAATAATAATAATAAAAATAATAATAACAGTAACAATAAATTAATAAATATTGATAATAAATACATTTTTAGCATGCCTGTGGAATATATAAATACTTTTGCTTTTCCAGGTCCCCGAGTATTGCAACTTAGAATGGAGATTTGACATTCTTGTTGGATCAAGAACGCTTAACCATATTGCAGAGCCTCTTATCACCATGCAGCTCTCCTTAGACTCTCACAAGAGTAAAGGTAAACTTTGACTTGCAATGTTCATACAAGTAAAAAGTTCTCAAGCCTAATATTGAAAAAAGAAAGAAAGAAAGAAAAAAATTCACTTTGACCATACTTATTTTAATTCAATAAACAGTAAAAGGATGACAGTTATACCAGTGATTATGAAATGTAATTAGTGAAAAAAAGTTTAACTAAAGGTAGCATGATGCCCCTATATTGATTTACTCAAAGAATTGGATACTGTGATTTATAAATTTAAGTTATAAAATTTAATATATTTCTTAAATTACCTTGTGAATACCAATTGTCTCAAATCAATTGAAGTCTTGATTGTTATCATTACACATCCTCTCTTGCTAACAGAATAATTTCACTTCCAAATTATATGCAAGTAACACCAAATAATTTCTTTATTTCAACATCAGATGGTACACAGCAAGACCAGCCTAGCAAGCTCCTCCTCCAGACAGATCCCAACAATCTTTCACACATGACAGCAGTATTGGAAGAAGCACTGCATGAAGCCCGGACACATCATTCGCGGAAAATTCACCGACATCTAAAGTAGTTTTACTGGCTGTTAATATGTTGCTCAAGATTTAAGGTCTGATTTTTTTACATAATCCATATTTGTAAATTTATGGGGGAAATAACACATTCCAATCAATGATTTATTTAAACATGCTAAATTTGCATGCTTATATTTTGGATTTTTTTTTTCTGTTATCCTTTGCCCACCCCTCCCCAGTAAAATGAACTTATTTAAAAGGTGATGTTTACACCAATTCTTGAAATGATTAGATTACTATTCTGACATAATCTATCAAATTAGTTTACCATTTGTAGACATTATCTTCAAACTTTGTGGTGCTGTCTGCATTTTCTGTTAATTTATCAATAATTGTTTACTTTACCATTTATTTTGTCCACATATTGAGGGGATGAAATAAAAGTTGTTAAAAAAAAATATGTATTCACTATCCTTGTATAATATAAAATTACTTTTGCTGTTTGCTTCCATATAATTATACTATTTGATATATTTGTTTCTTTGTTTACACACACACACACACACACACACGTATATGTATATATAAACACATATAAATAAATACACACACACACACACACACAAATATATATATTGTCTTAGGTGGTTTTGTTTGCATTTTGCTTATGTAATGTGAAACCATGTCCAAATAAAAAGTGAAGGAGGTATAAGAAATCAACACACTCCACGTTATATCATCAAGTTCACTTACAAGAAAGTGAAATAACAGAAAGGGTTTACTTACATCTCACACGCAGCTCAACCTTGAACCCATTCTTGCTGTCAATCCCAATGCAAGATGGCTTGTACAAGTCCAGCTTAAATGTTCTAACCCGCCATGGATAAAAAGCCAGCCAGGAGGCATCTTGGTGCTGTTGTCTTACAACGGACGAGTTCTGGCCCTCGTAGTGATGGAAATTGTCGTCCTCAATGTCCAGGTGAAGCTGAGGAAGGAAATGTGTGAGATGTGTCAGAATCTCTAAAGGAATTTATTCAGTGAATATAGAAATATATACAAACATGCACAATTTGCCATTGCACAAGTTCTGCTTGTATGTATTCAAATATATAATGAAAAATTTACCAAAGAAGTAAAAGTTGTAAATTATTGGTTGTAATTTTTTTTTTTATGCAAAAAAAAGTGTACCTAATAGACAGATGTCTCTTGTATTCTAGTAAGGAATATAATGGCTATTACATACACTAAGTATCACAAAGACAGCACATACTGATGTCACATACAATTACTTTTCTTTTATTTATTATTCTATGGATATGACACATACAAGATATTCTGAAGGCCTGCTAGTTTTAAGCTCTGATGTTTGCATTAATTTTGCACTACCCTAAACAACTCACAGTCTCAAAACAAATCTTCCTTTCCTCTCTTGGCACACACTTCCTGGCAGAAAAGTCACTATCCAGCACATGAATGTAACTGGTGTATGTGGTCTACTTACAAAAGCAGAAGAATAAATATTCAAGTTTAGCAATTGTGTAACAGAAAATATTTCATTCAAATCACTAGTGACATTATAGACAATACATCATACACTGAAAGTCGATCCATGAATTTCTTTTCCTGCTCTCAAACAGTGTGTGCTTTTCAAATGTCCTAAACCCATAATCAAGTTACTTCTTGGCTCAACCAGTCTGTGTTGTTCAGCAGTGTCTAAGAGCTTGTAAGGTCAGAAAGCAAATCTCACAGAGAGTTCTTTCCTTAACACATAACCAATGTAAATTAATGAGTATTGGACTTATTCTCTTATTCCCTTATTCCCTTTTGATTTATCTTGCTGCTTTATACATCATGTTTAGCAACTTCCTCAACTGGTAGTTTGGCAAACTGTAATAGAGGGAGATGTAGTAATCAAGCTTACTGATGACACAGCTGTGAAGAAGCATTTTAACCCTAGTTGCCAAGTGGCATGTATGTCTTGGCATGGCTGGACTCAATTCTAGGTGGCATGTGCATACATGCCATGGTGTGCATCTACTGTCATGCCATGATTTTTTTGTTACAACAACAGCAGATTCTGAGTTTTTTGCCACCAAAAATGTGATAGAAGCAGTTTTTAACATTAATTTTTTTTTTCCTATACTTTACATTTCATAAGGGCTTTGCGGCTATGACCCGCAAAACATCTGAGTGTATACATGAGTGTACGTATGTGTGATGAGTGCACAAATGTGATTTGTGGAGAAATTGAATGTGTGTGCAAGTGCACATGTACAGAGGGAGTGGGGGAGGTGGAAAGTGTGATATAGATGTGCAAAAATGTCACTTCACATGAGAGATGGGCAGGGGGGTAAAAAATAAATAAATAAATAAATAAATAAATAAAAATAATAATAATAACAATAAATAAAAATTATAATCTAGGGGTACTATGGAGTAAAAAATAACTTGTGTTATATTGGGAATACCAATATAAACTTACAAGTGTGATAAGTTTATGATATAATCACAAATATAGAAAACTAAACTGCTTACTTTATTCAGAGTAAAGAATGAGTCTATACAATGAAAAAAAATATCTGAAATTCTTGACTTATCAGAAAATAAAGCAAATATAAACTTTAGAAAATAATAATACTAAAAAATATAAAATTGTTTCTTAGTATTACACAGAAAAGAAAAGGAATGCTATTATTGAACATGAGTGGTCATGCACGCCAGGGTAATGACACAAGCCCCTGTCAGCTGGGCCTAAGCTGCTACAAATACCACTCAGGGTGGAGGGATTGCGTATCGAAAAATAACCAGGTGGCACTGAGTTAATAATTAACTTATCCAAGCATTTCCTGACAAAGGTAATATTCCTCGACTGACAACCAGTGACTCGGGCCATGATTAACTTGAGCATTAAAAGAAAGACTGTAATCCAATACTACACCTAAATCCTTCAACTGATTCTTCATATCCACCTATGCTCTTATGTACTCTTAAACTGGAAACGTACAATCTTCTAATATCAGTCTTTCTTTCTACCGTCAAGCACTCTATCTTATCTGTATTCAATTTCAACTGCTTTGTATCTATCCATTTCTTAAGATCGGATGTAATTCCACTCAGCGGCTCCTCGGCATCCCAAACATTATTTATTGACATATAAAATGGAGCATCATCAACAAATTATTTAGAATGAACACCCTACCTTTCAAGCAAGCGTGATAATCTAATTGTTTAGATACAGAAGAGAATGGGGCCCAATATACCCCTGTACTTGTAAACAATATGTTCTACATTCCATATAACATGCCAGAGAGACTAGTGCCTTCCCCTCTGCACCAATAGCCTTTAAGTCATAAACAGTAAGCTATGCATTATAGCATCAAATACAGCACTATGACCTAGTAGTGTCTAGTACTGTCCTCACCATGTGTAGGTGAGCTGATAACTGATGTAAAATCTTTCTCAATCATTTTTGAAGGGAAAGTCACATTTCATACCAGTATGAACAAATTCAGACAGACTCTCTATGTCCAGTTTACTTTCACAACAGGTTTAATAATTGCTGAGTCTAGCAGAACCTGGACTTTATGTGCATGATCCCAGATAAAAGTTGACACTAATTATTTATGGCTATATATAAGCTATCTAAAATTAATATCTGTAAACATGGTATACTGTTCTACTTAAAAAAAAAGAATCCTATATCACACATAAAGCCTTACCTCAACAGTTTTGAAGACTGTAATGAGCACCTTTGACTCCCCATCATAGCAAAAGACGTGCAGTTTCCTCTTGCCATCAGAGGTCAAAAACAACTTCTTTCCAGCATGCATTTGGTAGTAATCTACAAAAAGAGGAGGGAAAGTTACTGTTGTTTGTAAAAGGAAAGGAAAGAGGGAGGGTGACTGCAAGGTAGGCCTACTGCCCTGCCACATTCAAGGTGTATTAATAAATCTTTTTATCCTTATCAAGCTTTGGAATGTGAAACAGGGAAGGCCAAAATTCAAAAGAAGTTGTAATATTAAAACCTGGCTTCAAAATTCAGTACCAAAAATGACAAACAAATACGATACTGTCTTGGCTTCTGTACATTAGTAACCTAGTTTACTCTGCAAATAATTTTCCACTATGATCTGTAGATAAAACTCAAAATCTCCAAGTCTTATTGACCCCATGTACTTGTTATATAATGATAATGATATTAAAGATAATATTAAGAATAACAACCCTAATAACAGCAATAATAATAAAGTTAATAATGATATCATTAATAATAATTATATTAATAATAATAATAATCACTATTATCATAATAATAATAAAAACTAGCATTTGCTTTACCCTGCGGTGGTTTTTCCTTCTTAATTTCATCCACACGTCTTGTGGCACCACTCCTGATTTTCCCAATTGGTTCGTCAAACTCATCAGGGTCTGAAATTTAATAAAATGCAAATAAAAGTCTTTAGTAAAAAAAAAAAAGGCCAAATGACTGTCTAAAACTTGTATAGACTATCCATAAGCAATTGTCTGTGTACACTAATATCCTAGTATATGATCATATATTACTCATAAATGCCATGCTATATGTCAAATCAAAAGTAAGAGAGGGAAACAGAGGGGAGGGGATGGGAAAGGAGAGTGGGGATGAGGAAGGGAGACAGCAAGATGGGGTAGGGGGAGAACCTGGTATTGCATAAACTTCCATGA